ATATTTTTTGGATGGTTAGTCAGAGAGCATGTGATTAATAAATTAGTGGAAGTGCAGGTTACTTTGTTGTTTCCCCTAGATCTGTTCTGACGAACATGCATATGCATCACACTAATCTGCTTCATCATAATTATTAAATCCAAGCATGTAAGTCGCTATAGCATTTGCACATCAATCCAGATATGTTTCATTACTCCAGTTTCTACCTTTAGTTTTATATATGGGCTATCTACTACACAATTTAATTACTCTGCATATTTTGTATTACCTGAACATGGATAAATTGCATGTAAAATTTTAGTTCCCATAGATCTCTCGGTTGAGTCAAGGACTCTAGGTAGCAATTTTTTCTATCTCAATTTCATTTGCTATAGTCAGTTACTATTTCGCATTAATATGTTCAGATTCCCAGTTATGATTAATTGATCATATGTACCTTTGGATCTTCCAAAACAATCAACATTTTATCTGCGCTATTTTCTTTCACATTTGCCATTTTGTTCATATCTGTAGATCTATTTATATATATTCTTTTTTTGTTTCTGCCAAGCCACATATGCATCAATTTGAATGAGCTTAAATTTGATCCTTTGTTCTATTTATATATATTATTTTTTTGTTTCTGCCAACCCACATATGCATCAATTTGAATGAACTTAAATCTGATCCTTTGTTTGGTATTACCTACATATAAATTGATTAGCCATCTCTTCTTTGATGCACAGGTAGGTACCGCTTATGTACTGGAGCCTTGATCTTAATTTTTCTTCATTGGTAATAGTATCATCTCTCAAGAAGTCCTTTACAGATATATGTAGTACAGCGGGTCATTATTTATTTGTTGCTGTGATGTCAAGCTCTATTTTCTTTATTATGACAAGTTGCAAAATTAGCAGTGGGAAGTAAACTTTTGTTAACTTGTTGGCTGAACCAATGGAACTACTGTTATATTTGATTTGTTGCTCAACTAGTGCTGCAATGATGGAACCGATGATTGTGCATGGTGCATCCATCCATTCTATCGGAGTGGCTGTGTTTTTTTCTTCTTGTGCTAAGATTGATAGCATCACATATCCTATTATTTTGTTTCTCCAGTAGAGCCTTGTGAGTTGATGTGTCTGCCACCGTCCTCGAATGGTTGTGCAATAATAATGGTCCTAGCTAATTACTAGTATGTGCTGTTGCTAAAACAACTTGCTCCTCGTTTAGCAACAACAACAACCACGCTTTGGTTCCCCAAAATTCAGATGGCACTTGCATCTCTACATACACACACATATGAATATGCACCTCGGTTTGGTTCAGTTTGCATGTTTACATTTGCTTTAACTTTGACTGAAACTATCTTGGTGGCACTTGCATTAATGGTGTGTTCTGCCCTTGTAGATGTCCTTGGAGAAGATGGCCATTGGAGTGTAGGGGTGGAACAACCTTGTCTTGCTCAAGGAGGAGGACCACCCGATCTCGACGACGGCACGGCAACAGGTAGCACTCGCCTCCCTCCCAAGGTGAAGGTCTGATCCGCCTGTTTACATGGTCTGCTCTTGTCTTATGCATGTGAGGGGAGAAGAAAGCCATTGGACTGAATTATATTTGCATGTGAGGGGAGCGGTCTTTTTGGTAGATGCAGAGTATAGATTCACAAAATTCACCACATGAGCGTACTACCTATATCCAAATTCTGGATGGCACTTGCATCTTTTGTATGTACACATGAAAAAGCATGACGGTTTGCTTCAGTTTGTATGTGTCCAATTGTTTTTTTACTTTGACTGAAACTATCTATCTTGGTGGCACTTGCATCTCCTGTACATACATACATATGAATCAGCACCACACTTCTCTTCAGTTTGTATGTGTCATTTTTTTTGGTTGAACTTTGACTGAAACCAACTGGATGGCACCTCAATTTGTACATGCACATGAATCAAACACCACCTTGGTTTAGTTTTGTATGTGTCCTTTTGTTTTTACTTTGACTAAAACCAACTCGATGAAACTTGCATCTTCTGTATATACATATGAGTCAGCACCACACTTCTCTTCAGTTTGTATGTGTCAATTTTTTGGTTGAACTTTGACTGAAACCAACTGGATGGCACCTCAATCTGTACATGCACATGAATCAACACCACTTTCATTTAGTTTTGTATGTGTCAATTTGTTTTTACTTTGACTAAAACCAACTCAATGACACTTGCATCTTCTGTATATACATATGAATCAGCAGCACCACACTCTGGTTCAGTTTATATGCATCAATTTTTTGGTTTTACTTTGACTGAAAATTTATATGAGTAAGTATCATCAGTCACAATCAGAGACCAATTTCTTTCTCTTTGGAGCTCAATTTCTTTCTCTTTGGAGCTTGCCTTGAACAACTCATGCTTGATAGATACAACCAAAACTGGAGCATCTTCATGAAAGGCAATAATTTTCTGCCTTTTTAGTTGGATGCCCCTGTTCTAGGCGGGTTTCTTTTGGTAAATTCAGTGTATAGATTACATATTCATCCTCATATGTAGGATCTTCGGTTTGTTATACTGACTGTATGCCACCTCCATCGTTGCAGCCTTGTCTCCCCCACCAATGCCCCTCGGCCTCCTCTAATGCTGCTGTGGAGTCTTAGAATGGGAATGTTATGTACATAAAAAATATTCTATGGTCTGTGTTTGCAAATCCATGGTTGTTGAATCATGTCTGTATAAGCATTTGTAAATAGCTAGCCTTTTTGGCTAATCTTTTTTTTTCGTTCTGGTGAGCAAGTATGCCGACGACAATGCCGTAGGCATAGATGGCTCTCGTGATACCAGAAGCTGCCATGTGGTGTGTATGCCTACGGCAAAGCCGTCAGCATAGCCTGCAGCAGGAGCTACCAGAATGCGCCATGTGGCAGGGCTATGCCTACGGCTTAGCTGTAGGCATAGGTTTGAAGCTATGCCTACGGCTAAGTCGTCGGCATAGCCCTGCCACGTGGCGTCTCTTGTATGGGCAGCACTTGACGGCGGCAACAGCAATCACCGTTAGGCGCGAAGCATTGCCGACGGCCAGATGTACGGGCGCCGTCGGCATAGATGTACGGGCGCCGTCGGCATAGGCATCTATGCCGACGGCCATTCTATGCCGACGGGGACCTGGGGTACGCCGACGCATATGTTGCCGGCATAGGGCCGTCGGCATAGGCCTATGCGGACGGGTATCAAGGCTATGCCGACGGCCTGGACCGTCGGCATAGGGGCTCAGTGTGGTAGTGCAAGAAGCAACTTCTATGAAAGTAGAAAGGAGCAGCTGAAGCGCTGCAACGATAAAGGAAGGATTTGCATGCATGATGAATCTACGTTACGTATTGTACCTCTTTGGCAAGCGACCAAATCCGAGAATCTTGGAGGATTTTATCCCCAACGCAGTCTCTGAAGAGGCCCCACGCGTCGTCTTCCCCCATGCACCTGACCTCGACGACGTTGTCCGCGGTGCACCCCATGAGGGCGCCCACGTCCGGGCTCCTCGTGGCCACGACCACCTTCTGGCGCCGCCTGCCCTTCCCGAGCGGCGTCGGCAGTCGGCAGGCCGACCGCCGCCAGGTCGACGGGCGCCTCCAGCGGCCCGTCGATCAGCAGCAGGAAGCTTTTGCGCGAGAGTTCCGCGCGGATGAGGCAGGCCCGGCTCCGGTCGTCCGCCGACGACATCACGCCGTAGCTGCAGCCCATGCAGGTGCAGCAGATGCCGAGCTGCACGTCGGTCACCGACCACCCGCTGCCCACGTCCAAATAGAACACGCGGTCGAAGAGGGCGTGGTACGGGCTGGGCTGCCGGAGCGGCGTGAGGAGCGACGTCTTGCCGGCGCCCCGCCGGCCCCAGATCCCCAGCCGGTCGTCGCCGGGGAGGTCGCTCTCGAGGAAGTCGTGCATTCTGGTGAGGTGGCTGTACACGCCTCGCAGGTGGCGGCAGGCCGAGCGCAGCCGGTCGAGCCTCGCCGGACGGCCGTGGGCGCGCGCCGCCGCCTCCTCGAGCTTCGCGATGGCACCCTTGAACTTGATCATGTGGATGTGGTAGATGATCTTGATTAGGAGCCACATGGTGATGCGTACGTACGGGGTTCGACGATCGCGCACGAGAGAACCCCACGCAGCGAGAATCGACTCGACTAGCTATTGCGTACTACAACCTCAGAATATGTAGAATTCGTATCAGGAGGGGATCGTGTCCAACACGGACATGGCTTCAACTTCAACTTGTATCGCACATGACTTGAATTGCTCCTGAAGCCATGGTGAGTCGAACGCGTGGACGATCTGCCATATTAGGCGCTACTAGCCTGAAGAACTGAAGAGGGGAGAAATTCAGTCAAAATCACTCAAGAGTAGCACACTTTGTGGGATGATTGCGAGGAATTTACGACGAATTAGGATATGCACTTAGGCCAACCAAAACATGTCGGCTAGGGTTTATAGGCTTTATAGGCTTGCATTTTTTAGAAAGTAAAAAGTAAAAAGTGCCCCAGTGCTGTTCTCGGATTTCAAACAGAGATAGGAAGACTAACATTAGCTGCGATGGAGGGCTGCAGTGCTTCGAGGCAGCTCAACGAAGCAGTAAGTTGCCGTTAGATGCAGATCCAACAGCCGGGAATGTTTGGTTTCTTCAGCTAAGCAGAACGGAGTGTCGATTTCTTCAGAGATCAAAGCGGTTGGGGCCTGACATATGCTATACTTCAGATTCAGAGGGTTATCGGCTCAGAACATGGCATCATAACTTCATTCGGGCCAACATAATAACCACGACAGACAACACGACTACCAAGTACAGCAAACCAACTTCACCACATGACTGAATGCATACTGCAAGCCCACAGTACAACAGAGCTTAAGATGACACGATAGGGGCATTCGACCGTCGTCAGATTATGCCTACCAGTCAAACAATGTAACTGAAACAGCGGCAGCTAGATTATTCCGCAGTATGGCTACTGGCATTGCGTTGAGCTTCATGGAAGCCTCATCCCCTCAGAAGTACGGCCTGTAGCGTGTCGGCCGGCGGAATCTGGGAACTCTCCTGAAAATAGCACAAAAAGATAAGATATCTGTTAGAACAGGCCATACAATTGAACATCCACGTTTTGCAAAAGCTGCGGAACTCACCCATATCCGTACGGTGGGAAATACGGTGCCCCGTATGATCTATAAGGGTAGGCATGGTAGGGATTGAATCCGCGTGGAGGACGCTGCTTCATCCCAGGGACGTTAGTCCTCTTTGGTGACACCTGTTGGGCACAACAGAATGAAAGTTGATTTTAAATTCAAAGACATTATTAAAGAGAGGTGGTACTGGAAACTCAATGTCTGAATGAAAAGCTGTTAATATGTCTGCACCTTGATCTGGCGACCATGCAACTCAGATTCATTCAGATTAAGAGCCTCCTGAACGGCTTCTTGTTCTAGAAATTCCACATAAGCAAAGCCTTTTGGCTGTCCAAACTTGTCGGTCAAGATTGTCACTCTGTTGACGGTTCCACAAGCTTGGAAATGCTGCTGCACTTCCTCTGGTGTACACGCATAATCAACCTGCAGTACATGATAATATCAGAAAAACAAATCTCAACTGGATGGAGATGAAAGATTAAAAAAATAGATTATTCAGCTAAGAATTTACTGACACAACAAGATTCTACTAGATATTGTGTCTACTTTGCACTTGAAGGGTAATCATATAGTTATAAACAGCTGCTTACAGCTGTATACTCCCTCCGTCCGGAAATACCTGCTGGAGAAATGGACGTAGATATTTCCGGACGGAGGAAGTATTAGTTAATGACGAATATAGATGGTCTTTGACTTACTACACAAGCTCAAGATTAAAACAAATGCAAATGACATTGTAACCGAGGGAAGGTTAAATTATACAGCCAGAGAAAACTATCGCTGATATAGAGATTAGTCGATGATATTCAAGATCTAAATGGTTATTCCTCAAAAGTCAAAATTGAAGGTACAACAGAAACCTCGCTACCGTAAGTAGCGGTATCCAATAGGAACAATGAATGAGATTACATAATCCATAGGGAAGTAGATGAGAAGTCATTAAGTATGATTCGCAGAGGAACATTTGTGGGACTATGCTTTTGTTGGGGGGTGGGGGTGGGGTGGATGATAGTTAACAATCTGAGGACGGTAAAAGTAAAAGTCATGCATTGCATGACACATGGAGAAGTTGTAATTTACGGAACACATGTGAAGAAAAGCTTGAAAGCCTGCTAACAGCATAAACTTGCGTGTGGAAGATGCAACTTCTATATTCTTTTGCTCCCTACAGTCTATAATGCAAGCATTTCAAGAAAAGCAGTTCAAGAAAAGTTCTGTTAGTATCAACGTTTGGTTAATCTTCTATATAACTATACTCCCTTCAAGAATCTTAAGGTAGGAAGTACCTCAACAGCATTTAGTTAAAGTAAAATTTTGTCTTCTGCAATTCCATATATAAACTCAGCTCTGTGGGAAGTACAGAATGTTGGGCAACTTTACTTGCATTTAGAGTTACATGTAATCCTCGTAAACCGTTAGAAACACTTTTATGCTAACGCAGAAGCAGACATCACGTTTAGAGAAAGATCAACGATAGACCATAAAGAGAGCGAAAAGGAGCAGCATGAATATGGGTTTTGGTAGCACATGGACAGTTCTGAAGTGAAAAGAGGGAGAGGAGCGATAAGCAAGCGCACATTCAGAGTGAGCAAAAGAACGGTCAACATAAGGCTCCATTCTGATGATACACTTACATGTCATACCTATCCACCGTTCAGATGATTCTCACTGTACGAGTGGTTTAGAATCACACCACATCACACGCAGGTCCAAGTCTCAAGCGCCAAGAGCAGCAGATTTCTAGACTTCCTTTCTGTCTTCAGGGAGGTAACTTATCCTATACTATGTAAACTCGTTTTTCTTTTTTCTGCTTTTTTCTATCCATTTTTCCAGGATATATTTCTTCTTTTTTCCAGGGATTTTTCTCTTAATCTACTAATATATACTAAAACACGAGATGGTACTGAACCATCGGAAAGTTCTTGATATCAAAAGCCTACCCCTGCGACCATCACATTGTGCAATTAATGCACCAGAGCATTAGAACAGGGGGACATTCCAATATAAAAACAATAGTATACATTTTCTGAGATTTTAGCATACTAGCAAATGATGGTGACAAAGGTTAACACTAATCTAAACAACACTGCAAAACTGCAAATGGAAATTATCCTTTGCTATGAGGAACGGCATTAAGCATGAACTACAATTAAGAGCAATAGCATATCAAAGAGTTATGAATTAGCTATATATTGCCTGCTGACAGCAACGGTAGGCAGGAACAGAGCAATTTCAGGATCCACTCCATATTATGCATTGAACATTTGAACATAAGAGAAGTGGAGAATAAATCAGACCTTTTGGCGTAAGTATCCCTTATCTAAGTTAAGTGCACCAAAGACATTTTCGACTAACTAGCAGTCAGTACCCAATATCTAATGAAGTCCATATATCCACACTTTTTATGCTACATAGCCAACAACTATACGAATACCTTGGCAACACAAGTGTACATCTATCATAATACAGACCCAACATTTGGCATGTGTGCGGCCACCAGCCATGCATGTGTGAGAGAGAGATTAGGAAATCTTACATTTCCAACATAAACAGAGCGGGCATCAACCTGTTCTTTTGCCTCAGCTGTAGACGCATTGGCATCTCCTCCTACAGAAGAAAATAGGTAAGTGCATAAGACAACTGGTAGCACATAAAAGATGAGGCACCAAAACACTGATAAAAATAAATCACATTGTGTTAGAAAACTTTGCTGTAAGCACCAACGGATCCATCACAAATAAAAAGGCAGTAAACACTAAATCAAATGTCTAAAGCTCATCCAGATATATATTTAATGAGAAAATGTCCAAAATTAGCCCAAAAAGCAAGCATATGCATAACCATGAAAATCATTTTGAAAGACAGCCATAACATTTATCCCACACTCGCTTGTTTTTACCACAAGACACGAATAAGTATTCATGCCAAAACAAAGATTAATACAAGGCATGCTACACAATCATGCCACTACTTCAACTACATAAGCAAGAAACCACGAGGCATATCTTCATTGCACAGACCTAAATTTACTGTTGGTGATATTATGAAAATATGAAGTAATCAGTACAAGGAGCAGAAAGATTGGAGAAGAGTGAGTATTATAGAGAGAGAAAAGAACAAGGGTCCCAATATGATATAAAATACTGAAAAATAAGGGAGGAACTCTGAAATATGGCGGCAGTTTAAAATTGAAACATTAGCACAAAATTATTCTTGAAGTGCATATCCTGGACATAGTCATATAGAAGAACCAGATCTCTAGAGTCTATGCCGGGATTACAAACAGCAAACCAGTCAACGTTCAGATTCATGTAACTCAATAGTGGTGCAGAAGGAACTTAAAACATACTGCTCGCGTGTGGTTACAAACTACACACATCGGCACTATGTGCAGAAGGCACAATTCATCCGATTTATTTTACCTACTCAACACTACAGAATGGGCCATAAAGTTACAAACAACACCTACAATAGTTGCAATTTTACGGTGTAAAAGAAACAGTAATTTGGTCAGATTTATGAGTACCAATCTCAAGTTCATCAAATTGCCTGATAGCCTACTGCGTGTGGGATTACAAGACCATCACGAGGCATCCCCAAATAGACCAAAAGCGGCTAAAACCAACCTAAGCAAATCGCGACAAGTACAAGGAGGCGCATCTAGAAAGACAACCTTGCATCTCCTTGGCGACCTTGGCCTGCATGTCGCGCAGGGCGGCGGCCTCCTCCTCCATCTCCTTGAGCCTACGCTTCATCTCGTCGAGCTCCTGCAGCGGGCGAGAAAGCGCGCGGTCAGAACTAAACTAGGTTTAGGGTTTAGCGCGCAGACAGGGAGCCGAGGGATGGGGATGGGGGTGGGGGCAGGGGTGGACCTTCGCTGCGTCGTCTCCGGCGGCGGCCATGTCGACGTCGGCGCCTTCCATGTCGCCGTCCACGGGGATCTCCTGGCCGTACACCTCGTGCTCCTCCTCGTCCATGGCCGTCTCTCCCCGATCTAAACCCAATTCGGTGGATTTTTTTTTTTTTGGAGTTGATCCGGTTCGGTGGATTTGGGGTCGGAAGCGAAGATGGAGCGGGTGGGCTCGGTCGGTACTCCGCGTATGCTTCAGTTGGGCTTATGGGCCTCGTACTATCATCGCTGCTCTTGGGTTTTGGGCTTATAATGGACTATACGCCCGTTGGGCCTGGGCCTGGGCCTTGTAGGTGGGTCCAGACATCGCGGGGAAAGGTGCCGGACGCATTCCCGTGCCTTCTGGACTGTTCGGAGCGCAGCTGCGCGGCGGGGCATTCGCGGATATAAATCTCCACAGTCCCCGGCGATCCGCGCCGTGCTCATCGCAGTAAAATCCAGAAACATCCGACGAACACAGGCAGGGAGAGAAGGGAGAGCGTGGACAATGGCATCACGGGTGGTGTTCTCCAACAGGATCCCGCTGGCGCGCGCCATGGAGAACCTCCTGGCCGCGTCCTCCGGGTCGGCTCTCAGGCCGGCTGCCGTCGCCGGCGGCGTCCGCGGGTACAACGCCGGCGCGCCCCTCCGGAGCTACGACCGGGACGAGGCGGTCGAGCGCAGCCCCCGCAGCGGCGCGCGCGAGCGCGACGTCGGCGTGCCCAGCTTCTTCTCAGGTAGTCGTCATCCCGCACCATGCTTGTCACTCCAACGCGTTGGATTCATCTCTCCGCTGCGCGATCTGAACCAGATTCCAACTCCGGCAGCGTGCGTGACAGAGTTCTGTGCTGACTGTTCTTGTGCAGATGTGTTCCGTGACCCGTTCAGCGCGCCGCAGAGCCTGGGCCGGCTGCTGAGCATGCTGGACGACGTGGCGGCGGCGTCCACCGACGGCGCGGCGCGGGCGGCGCCGCTCCGGCGCGGGTGGAACGCGAGGGAGGACGCGGACGCGCTGCGGCTGAGGGTGGACATGCCGGGGCTGGGCAAGGAGCACGTGAAGGTGTGGGCGGAGCAGAACAGCCTGGTGATCAAGGGCGAGGGCGAGAAGGAATCGGACCGGGAGGGCGCCGACGCGCCGAGGTACAGCGGCCGGCTCGAGCTCGCCGGGGACGTGTACCGGATGGACCAGATCAAGGCCGAGATGAAGAACGGCGTGCTCCGGGTGGTCGTGCCCAAGGTCAAGGAGGAGGAGCGCAAGGACGTCTTCGAGGTCAAAGTGGACTAGGCACTAGGCAGGATCACGCCAAGTTTCGCGTCACGGAATAGCCGAGTCGTCTCGTGTGAGCCGAGTAATAATAACTAAAAATAACTCAAGCTTTTTTGTTTGTCGTGTTGGGTCTGGATGTTTTGGTCTCGTGTTAAGTGCCTGTACGAGTATGAATCGATCAAACAATAGATCCGTTTTTCTTGGTCTTTCTTCTGAAGCAAATTTTACATATCGTATAAGAGGGCCACGGCCCGAGAATATAGAGCACGACGCAAATGATTTCAAATCCCTGAAATACTTTCTCTCAACCGTGATGCGGACGGCTGGCGTTTGTTGCCGTTATCCACCATTGTGCAAAAACCTTCCTTCCCATTCCCTTACGTCAGCCGACCGCCTCCGGCCCAACTTGCGCCGGCGGCGCCCGATTTCGGTGGCCACCGCGACATACCCATCGGAGCAGCGACATGAGAAGGAGAAGGACTAGGCATGTGAGGTCAAGGTGCTCGCCGGCAGTGACCAACATGGTCGCCGCTCTCGACCTGCATCCTCGTGAAACTGTGGCGCGAGCAATAACTACCGTCCTCCGCGGTGTGACCGCAAAAGGAGCAACAATAACAGCGAATGAACGATAAGGATGCCCTCCGTCTCAACCGCGCACGAGCAAAGCAGTGTTGCTTGTTTAGAAGTAGCAGCAAACGAATCGATTGATTCGCAGCCATAAACGATGATAACCTTATTTCTTTGGTTCTTCTGCATTTCTGTCCTCCGTTTGTACTGAATGTACATGTCTCTTTATATTCTGTAAATTATCATCTCGTAATTTTTGGAAATTATAAGACTTACACAACCATATTTATAGAATTGCACATTGACCATCAGGTAGTTGGTCAGGTGGCAGCAGAACTTACACATCATACTGGAAGGGCTAGTTCAGGGGTCAATGGGCAGGGAAAAGGTTGTACACTCTCGTCAGCGTGGTAGTTCACGCACGGCCGCGGAGTTCCATACTCTTGTCGACATAGTTGCACACGTGCGTCCTTGGAGTTGCACACTCTTATCGACATGTCCCATAGTCTCATCGGTATTATTGCACACCCGCAGTTACGGAGTTGCATACTTTCGTCTCCATTGTTGCACACGCAAGACCGCGGAGTTGCACGCTCTCGTAAACATAGTGGCATATGTGTGTCCGCGAAGTTGCACACTCTTGTCTGCACAGTGGCACACGTCCGGCTGCGGGAGATGCTCATGTACATCGGTGGGGTTGCACAGTCGTCGGTATAGTCGCACATGCGTAGCCCGAGTTTCACACTCTTATCCGCATAATTGCACACACACACGGCTGCCAAAGGTGCTCACGGACGGTTGCGGGGTTACACAATCTCGTTCGCATAGTTGCACATGGCAGCGGCAGAGTTGCACACTCTTGTCAGCATAGTCGCACATGCATGGCTGCGAAGTTGCATACTCTTGTCTGCATGGTCGCACACGCACGGCTACGGGAGGGGCTCAAGGACGGTTGCGGAGTTGCACAGTCACGCCACAGAGTTGCATGCTCATGCCGCGGAATTGCACGCGTTCATCTACATATTCGCACACGCACGACCACGAAGTTGCACACTCTCGTCGACATAGTTGCACATACGTGGCCATGGAGGTGCACACTCTCATCTGCATAGTCGCACACGCATGGGGTGCAGGAGATGCTCACGCACAGGTGCGGGAGATACTCACGCGCGACTGTCAAGTTGAAGATTTTCCTTGTGTAGTCCCACATGCGTGGTCACGAGGGGTGCACACTCTGGCCTGCATAGTCGCACGCGCATGGCTACAGGAGGTGCTCTTGCACGACCATGGAGTTGCACACTCTCATCTGTATAGTCACATAGTTGCACACGCACAACCGCGAAGTTGCACACTCTCATCGGCGTAATCGCACGCCGCGGAGTTGAAGACCCTAGTCCGCATAGTCGCACACGTACTGTTGTGGCAGGTGCTCACACACGGATGTGGAGTTGCACACTCTCGCCTGCAGAATCGTACATGTGTGACCATGGAGTTGCACAATCTCGTCCGCATAGCCGCACATGAATTCATGTGGGAGGTGCTCACGCCCAGCCGTAGAGTTGCACACTCCAGTTCAACATAGTCGCACATGCATGGTCACAGAGTTAGCCGGGGCACCAGATAAAATTGCATATTTCATTGTTAGAGAGTAGTATGGGGCGATGTTTTTAGTGAAAACTGCATGTCCACAGTTAGAGGAAAAAGTTGCACATCGACTGACAGCTAGTTGCACATCGACAACTAAACAGTTGCACCAAACGGAGACTAAATTGCACACATAAAAGTTCGTCGAAACATACCAATACGGGATATAGTTTGAAGAGCACGCCGCGAGAGTTTCAACAATGAAAACGGATCTTAATTCCAGCGCGTGGTTTAAAAGTTATGACTTTTAAAAAATTTAAAAGCTCAAATTAAATGTGTTCACACTTGTTTACACGAATGCTTTTGTAATACTTTTCTGTTACATGATACTTTTTCTAATATATGGATCAAAATTGTTTTTTATATCAATTAGAGGGGGCGATAAATTACCCTTTATAGATTAGGGGACCAAAAATTTCTATTTTAGGCCGGCCGCTCGCGAAAGGCCAGCGAGCAGCCAGCCGCTACCTAGACTCGTCCTTTGACCTTTAGATTGATCCAAACAGGGGGATTTCTACCTGGCGGCGCCTGGCTTGCTCTGCAGGCTCCCGCACCCTGCGCATGCCCTATATGTATGTCACTGTCGTCTATCATTTGAACCTGCCGCCGGCGACCTCGAGCACGCATGTGGGAGCAACTTCAACAGGCGACAATGCGCCACCGCCATAGTGCAAGTCCAGCCATCAAGTTGGTGCCAAAGCCTCCGGCCGCTGCCACTCGAGAAGAGGAGGCTCGGGCACCGCTTGGCGTCCGATGGTGCGTCCATGACGGAGCAGCTCCTTACGGAGGCTCGTCACAGTCTACGGGTGCCCCAGCGTAGCACTGTTGGCTCGCGCGCCGGCGATGACCATGGCCGTCTAAACCCGACTTGAAGACAGTGTGCATGCGCACCTTAGGGCATCTCCAGCCGTTCGGCCCCCCAGGGCGCCTAAATAGAGTGGCCTGGGGGCGTGCCGGCGCTAGTTCGGCCCCTGTGGGCGACCTAGCTCCCAGTCACGTCCCCAAGCGCCGGCCCCAGGATGCGGGAAATTTGAACTAGGTCGTTGCCGCTCACAAAAGACGCCACAAATCCGGCGATCGGACGTAGTCTGACGTTACAAAAAACAGAGCGCCGCACGCCGCAAGTTCGCGTGCGTAACGAATCACTCGGCGGGGGCGGCTCCAGGCGTTGGCGGAGTCGGCGTGCGCGGGCTCGGCGGTGTCGGAGCTGCTTCGGTGCTGGGCTGTGTCGGCGCGGCTTCGGTACTGCTGGGCGGCGATGTAGAGGCGTCGTTCGGGCTTGGCGTCCGTGGGCGCGGGAGCTGGCGTCGTCGGCATCGTCGGTGTCGCCGAGGTGCGAGAAGGGCAGCGGTCCACGGCGGAGATGGGGCATCGGTGTGGACGCGTAGGCGGGCGGCGAGTAGTTGTATGGAGGGTACTGCACGCTGATGAAGGCGGGCGAGGGTGTGCGCGTCGCGGGGTGGCCATGGGGGAAGGTCATGTTTGGGTTGGGGATCGTCGTCGCCCGGCTACGCCGACGGCGACGACGATCCCCATGGAGATCTGACGCCTTGCTGTCCCCAGGGCGCGTACTGGGCGTGGCTGACGACGGGTGGATTCATCATCCCGGCGTGGTCGACCGATGAGGAGGACGCCGCCGCGCGCGCCGCTTGTTGGGGAACGTAGCAGAAATTCAAAATTTTCCTACGTGTCACCAAGATCTATCTATGGAGAAACCAGCAACGAGGGGAAGGAGAGTGCATCTACATACCCTTGTAGATCGCTAAGCGGAAGCGTTCAAGAGAACGGGGTTGAAGGAGTCGTACTCGTGGTGATCCAAATCACCGGAGATCCTAGTGCCGAACGGACGGCACCTCCGCGTTCAACACACGTACAACCCGGTGACATCTCCCATGCCTTGATCCAGCAAGGAGAGAGAGAGAGAGGTTGAGGAAGACTCCATCCAGCAGCAGCACAACGGCGTGGTGGTGGTGGAGGAGCGTGGTACTCCAGCAGGGCTTCGCCAAGCATCGCAAGAGACAAGGAGGGAGAGGGGTAGGGCTGTGCCAAGAAGGAGAGGAACTCGTGTTTCTTGGCAGCCCAAACCTCAAGTATATATAGGGGAGGGGAGGGGCTGCGCCCCCACCCAGGGTTCCCTCCCTAGGGGTGGCGGCAACCCCCAGATCCCATCTGGGTGGCGGCCAGGTGGAGGGAAGAGGGAGGCGCACCAGACATGGGCCCTAAGGCCCATCTGCCCTTAGGGTTTGCCCCCCTCCTCCCTTAGGCGCCTTGGGCCCTTGTGGGGGGCGCACCAGCCCACCTAGGGCTGGTCCCCTTCCACACTTGGCCCATGCAGCCCTCCTGGGCTTGTCGCCCCACTTGGTGGACCCCCGGGACCCTCCTGGTGGTCCCGGTACGTTACCGATAAAACCCGAAACTTTTCCGGTGACCAAAACAGGACTTCCTGTTGAGGATATTACTACTGGGCATAAACCGGCCTACCTGGGCCGGATTAACTCCATCAGTAGTTCAAAGGTGTTAAAGCCCAAAGAGGCAGATAAAGGCCCAGGGCCCGTAGTCGGTTTACAACCTGTAGCCGTACATCAGCTTTGTGCATATACTTGTAATATAAGTTAGGAACAAGGAGAGACCAACCCGGATACGAGTATGAACCGGTGTTGGGACTCTTTGGACCGACAGGCGTCACCCATGTATATAAGGGGACGACCCGGCGGCGGTTCAAGGACAACAGACAACAACTCGAGACATAGGCGAAGCTTGTTTGCTCCCTAGTCATCGAAACCCTATCAATTCCATCACAACTAGACGTAGGCTTTACCTTCCTCGAAGGGGCCGAACTAGTATAAACTCTCTTGCGTCCTTGTGTCCGCTTTAACCCCTTCAAGCTAACCCGTCGTGATGGCTCCACGACTAAGTCCTTTCTCTAGGACATCTGCCGTGACAAACCCACGACAGTTGGCGCCCACCGTGGGGCTATCGCACGATGGTTTCCGGTTCTTGGAGGGCCGCTTTGAAGGACTCAAGGGCTACGCTGTAGGCCAGATGACTAAAAGTCGTCGCGGCAAACTCTACATCGACGACGCAGGCTGGGGCCCCGAGGCCGGCTCAATTGAGTATGGGTACCGGGTCCCCTTTGGTAGCATTCACGTTTTCATTGGCAAGATCGGTGAACCGGGCCCTGAGCCGGACATCTGCGCCGACCTTGTCGAGACGGCTCAGCGTGCGCGATCTGCCCGGGTTAAACCGGCCATGAAGCGTGCCTTCGCGGGAATGATCCATGGAGGGAGTTATGAGGATGTATCGGAGCTTCGC